AAAAAAAAAAAAAAAAAGACTGATTGTAGATTTCCTGTTGTGCAAGCATTTCGAAGCCACAGATCTTCAGTTATGTGTCTCAGCTCTGGCAGTGAGAATTTGCTTTGGTTGATAACAGCAAGGTTTGGTTTTGAATCAGGTGTAACCCAGGTTATATACTTACATGGCTTCTGGAATTGAAGATAAATGCTGAGACCAATTTAGAATTTAAATGTCTTTGTCAAAGGATGTGTGTTGCACTGTTGAGTTGTTGAGTCACCTGTGTACTCCGCTAGAATCCTTGCCCTTCTGGCCGTTGAAAGATAGTATTTGGAGGTGGGTCAGACTGTTAACTACCTTTTGAGCTTCCCATGTTCCTTCAGGTGATGAAGTTGCAGACTTGAGCAGCCAGGCTTCCTCCTAACCAAACTACTGCATGCTGCTTAGCTGTTGATTCAAAACTTAGGTTTTAAGAAAAAGTGAATTGTCTCTAGAGAGAAACAAAAAGAAATCCTGGGCAGCTTAAAGCTTGTCTTGGCTTGATTAAAATCTTGGAGAAAAGAAAAGAAACTGGATCAGGTATTTCATTGTTTCTTCAAGAAGCTGTGTAGTAGCTGGGTGCCATAGTGCCAAAGACACCTGTAATCTTAGGTATTTGGGAAGCTGGGGCTAGAGGATCAAAATTTTGAGGCCAGCCTGGGCAAGCAAGACCCTGTCTCAAAAAATAAAGAGAGCTGGTGATGTAGCTCAGTAGTGGTTCGCTTGACTATTTGCCTGAGACGTGGCACCACAAAAACTAACAGAAAATTGAAGCTTTTCCTTCAGTCCTACTTGCCCTTTTATAGAGAATAATGGAAGCCTGAAATTGCTAAGAAATAGCTAAGATTGTGATGGTTGTTTTTATTTTAAATCTCATACAACTACTTCTCAAGACACTTTGTTTATCAAATCTTAAAAATGCTTTGACTATTTCAAAACATTCACATGTGTCTATTCCCTGAATCAGACTTATATAATTTTAAAATATTCACTTCCCTTACTTTCTCTTTGAACAAAAGGTATTTATAGTTCCCACTGAGTCAGGCATTTATTAGATTACTGCAAAATTAATTCTTGTACGTTTCATGCAGAAGCTTATGACTAGAATCTAAGAGGATAGCCTGGATGAGGAAGTATTGCCCTCTGATTTAAGTTGATTGAGGGTGCCTTCAGTGACTTTGAGAGTAAAGCATTAATAAATAATGGAGAAATTTACCACACATAAGATATTCTTATTTATGTATCAACTATCTCCCTAGAATGGACCATATCCCAAGTATAAGTGAAATTCTGTTTAGAGAGCTGCTAACTATATAATCTTCAGATTTGTACATTTTGCCACCTGGCATTATATTGAGATCAACAATAGCAGTTTGTTAGATACTTGGGAGTTGTGGTTTTTGAAGGTGGATTATAGTACAAATAAAATAGACTGATTCCATTTTAGGAATCAGTAATGAGGTCTGAAAAAAGAAAACATAACTTCAATCTGAATGTAGTAGATAATGTGAAAGATGTATAAAATGCACAGGACAGAGAGACAGATTACCTGGAGGGCAAGAGAAGTAGGCTGGACCAGGGGAGATTTCAGGAGCAGAAGATGTTTGAATTGAATATTAGATGACTAATGTCTTTTATTAAATTATGAAAGTTAATGTTGCTAATTGGAAACAGCTGGAAAAATGTGGAAATTATTAAACATCAATATTATCATTTCTGAGAGCTAACAATTAACATTGTGGTTTTGTATTTTGTCATCTTCTTTCTATGCCTAGATTAGAAATATACATCCCTTCCCCCAGGTCAACCAAGTTGTAACTATTTTTTCATACTATAGCTGTCAGTATATTGAAATAAAACCACATCAGTAATTACACATGCACCTTATTTTTATTGTTGTTATATAGCCTTCTGTGCAGATTTGGTTTACAGTGTTCCCTGTTACTGGATATCTTGGTTGTTTTTCAGCTTTTCATTCTCATAAAGTACACCATGATGAAACCTTAATGTATTGCCCCTTGGTGTGCACTTTATCCTGTTGTCCAGGCAGGATCGTCAAAGACTTAGGGATAGAATTATAGTTTAGTACAAATAGAGAGGCAAAGTAGAATAGGGCAGGAGATGGAAGATAAGAGGGCAGTTGATGCAGAGTCCTTTTATTTGTTCTCAACTGGGAGCCATTTTGAAACCTATACTACTTTAAATAAACAGCAGTTAATATCTTCATTAGTTATTGATTTCTCTTATTTTGAGAAGAAATAAAGATAATTTGAGAAAGATGTGGGTAGGGGCAAGTGTCATCATTTCATAATAATGCTTCCTTCTATAATGTCTCAACAACCCCAAGAAGCCTATTATGTCCTTTTTTTTTAAGGTAACCAGAGGCTTTGAAGATTGACTTGCCAAAGACATAGTGCTTTGGAGATCTAGTCCAGGCACTGCTGGGCCCTCAGGCAAGTCTTGGGACTTCACTTAGCTGTTAGGATATAATGAGACAGTATCTAAAAGATGATGAGAAGAGCATAAAGTCCCATAAAATGGAGAGACTATTTTTTAGAACAGGACACCTTACACAGGAGAGAAGCTCTGCTCAAGCTATGTTCCATTCCCTTTGTGGTAGCTTATATTATTTTCAGAATATTTGCTGTTCTTTCTACCCTCCCTCTATCCATTGAGAGAATTGTCTTCTCCTGCCCTGCTGAAGGCTGACTACTACTTATGGCTGGCTTGGCTGTAGACTTAATTTGCCAGTGAAATGTGAGTGATTATAATTTGTGCCATTTGTAAGCAGAAACTCCGGTAGGGTGGCCTGGTTCTGCTTTTTTGTGTGTCCCATTTGAGGTCCTTCTGCCTTGGTCCCAGAGTGAAGAGGTCATGAGGCCTGCAAGGAACTAAACAGGAACTGGGAAGCATACAATGAATCCCTGACATTTGAACATTTGAGTTGCAAACTTCCACAAATACCAATGAACCTTGTATTATGGACACTTACAGATGGGAACAAATCACAAACTAGCTCACGTGTCTGCTGGACATTACCATAGTTGTGCTGCTGTGTGTTTACTATGTTTAAAAGTAAAAATAGTTTATGTACAGTATTTTTGTGTGTTTGTTTTTTTTTAATGCTTTTCATTGTTATATTTGTGTTAAAGGTGTGTAAGACTTACGTTGTCAGACTTACGAATGAATCCTACTTCGAATTTTCTCCTGGAACGTAACTTGTTTGTAAGTTGAGCACTTAGTGTAGTTTAGCCTAAACTGATATACTCTTTAGGCAGCACCCTCTTCCTTTCAGGTTATGTGCATGCATACACACATACACACAGAATAATACTAAGAGCTTCCTTTTCACCTTGAGAGAGTGTTATACTGCAGATTTTCCTGCAACAAAGAGGTCAGCCTTCATCAGAGGTGATGGATTCATAAAAGGCATTTAGGGTTGACCAAGATGACACCTTTTTCTTTTAGCCACAGCAT